GGCGGGTCAGCGGCCGCGATCCCGCCCCCTGCGGCCCCGCCCCCTGCGGCCCCGCCCCGCACCAGGTGCTTGCAGGTGATGTTGAGAAACTCCCCGAAGTGCAGGCCCCTGCCCTCCTGCAGGTGCTTCTCAAAGGCGGCCTCCAGCTCCTCGCACTCCAGGTTGTGAGCACACATGCGCAGGGCGAACCTGCAGGCCTGCGGGGCACAGCGTTCGGTCCCAGCCCAGAGTTCTCAGGGCGATCCCTGCCCCCAGCGGCTACTCACGCTGGCCACTGGGGCCTGGGGGTCCTGCAGGTGCAGCAGCAAGGGCACCAGCCCGCCAGCTACCTGCTCCAGGAAGACTTCCTCGCAGTCTCCCAGGCAGGCCTGGTTGAGGTGCCCAAAGAGCCGGATGGATGCAGTCCGGAACTCCGCCTTCTCCTGGGGTGAGCAGTCATGCAGCATATGCCTGGGCCACTGCACCGCCCGTGCCCAGAGCCACAGCTGTGGCCAGGAGGGGCCAGGCCCAGTGGTGTGCCCCACGAGCCCTGTGGGGGGCTGGGCAAGCTCACAGCTCCTGGGGTCCAGAGCCAAGATGGAGGCTGGGCTTTCAGCTCCCAGGGGGAGGGCCTGGGTCTGGGCAACCCACCCCCATCCCTGGGCCCCACCTACGCTGTCAAAGAAGGGCCTGGTGCGGATGGCCACATGCAGCACCACCAAACGCAGGTCACAGGGCGCCACCAGGTCCAGCAGTCCCGCAAGGCCCACCATGGCCTCCAGGGCCACCAGGCTATGCGGGTCGTCCCCGTCGTCCAGCCCACTGATCATGGCTGACAGGAGCTGGGTGCCGTGAGCCCGCACCTGGAGATGCCTGCCCTTAGCATCAGTCCGTCACCCAGACACCTACTTCCCTGCTGCCCACGGCTCCCTCCCCACGGCTCCCAGAAGACTGTTTGGAAAGCCACCTTATCAGGGGAGCCGAAGGCAAGGTTGGCCAGGCCACGGAGGGCCAGCCGCCGGACGCTGGAGCAGGAGTCCTTCTGCCGGGCGGCCAGACTGTCCAGCAGTGGCTCGAGAAGCATCAGGTCATTCACCACGTTGCTGCGGACCAGCTGCAGGCAGAGGTGGGGCGACTACCACCCACTGACTGGAAGCCCACCTGCCCACCCTGGTCCTCCAGTGCCGCAGCTTTAGGCCTGGCGTGGGGTGTCAGCGGGTGTGACCAGAGCAAACCCACACCCAGCCCTGTGGCATGAAGGCATCTCATCCACTGTCCACTGTGGGCCCTACCTCACCCAGGAAGGCCGTGGCGGTGACCCTCTGAGCCTCATACACACTGCTCTGTGTGCTCACCAGCGCCTTCACCACCAGGGGCAGCCGGGGTCCCGCATGCTTGGCCATGGCACTAGGGGAGGAGGGCACGGCATGGCTGAGCCACCCACAGACACCTGCTGGGCTCACACCTTCCACCCTGCAGCCCCTTCCTCAGACGCACCCCTCCCAGCCCACCACCCCACATTGCTGGGCCCTGGCCAGCCCTGGTGGTGTAGTTCCGGACCATGGCCCCCGAGCTGGCCTTGGGTGCAGCCTACTCACCTGGCCAGTCGGGCTACCCCGTCCTCATGTCCTGTGGAAGTCCTGAGCAACCCCCAGCCTCCCTCTGCCTCCATGCACTGCACCACGTCCTCACTGCCACCCCGCAGCAGCATGGCCTGCAGGGTGTCCACCGCAGAGCTGTGGGCAGGACAGGCTGAGCAGGCTGGGGCTGGAGCCAGCTCCCTCCGCCCAGTGCACTATAGGTGAATGACCTGCTAGGCCCAGCCCGGGGCTGCACAGGTGGGACTGCCAGCTGCCTCCCTGGGGACGTGAGGCCGGCACAGGCAACACCTTCCTGCTGCTGTGGGTGGGCCTACATGCTGGCCAGCCAGATGCAGCTTGAGGCTCCAGGGACCATGCCCGCAGCCTCGGCACCTGCCCCTCAGAAGCCAGTTCCCTACAGAGTGCTGTGACCATCCCTGGAGACCCCACCCACCCCCACACACACACTGACAGGCCCCCAGGCAAGGGAGCAGAGCACTGGGGAGGGACAGCACCACCCCTTCTCCATGACCCCGCACCTGCCTCGGCTCCCAGGCACCCTTGCCGTGCTGCCTGCCATGCCCCATCCCATGTAGGGCTCCATGCCTGCCTGTGGACATGTGTCCACGAGGCTCCATCTCCTGGAGCCTGGGTGGGGTCCAGGAGGGCAGCCACGGGGCAGGGCACTGAGCCTGTCACAAGGCCACCAGCGCACAGAACAGCCCATCTGCCGCTCAGGGTGCCTTCTGCCGAGCGTGAGGCTTTTCTCACGACAGGCTCGACTTCCGAGGGCCTAACCTCCCCGCCCCAGCTCGGCCGAGCGTTGGGCTTTTCTCACGACAGGCTCGACTTCCGAGGCCATAACTGCACCGCCCAGCCACAGTGTGCCAAGGTGCCAGTGGGCGGGCACGGGAGGGTCAGCGCTTATAGGACATTCTGTGCACCAGACATTGGCAGGAGCCAGGCAACCCAGGAGGCAGGTGTCATGCCCACCAGCCACGGCATCCCGCGGTCTGGTATGGGCCAACAGCTAGACCACCTCCATGACCCGCAGTGTGTACAGAGGACAGCCCTCTCCAGAGCTAACCCTGTGGGACACTGCTGGAAGGCAGCTCTTGGCATCCACAAGCCCAGGGTGGACCTGGCTCCCACCATGGGGAGTGGGGGAAGGCAAAGGGGTGTGCTCAGAAGTGGGGACCAGGCAGGGGTTGAACTGAAGGCCTGTGGGACCAGCTGGTGCCTGCTGCATCCCGTAGCCCAGCCTGCGCCATGCAGAGTGGCTGGCCACAGCTCTACACCTCGGGCCAGCCGGCCCAGGGCTGAACTCCAGGTGTCTGGAGCAGACCACACAAGCCTGTTTGGGTGCAGAGACTGGGGGCACCTGAGCTTGGCTGCCCACTGTGCCAGAGGGGGGGCAGGGCCAAGGCCCCGCTCACCCAGCCCAGGGCATGTGGGGCTGGTGGCTGCTCCGCTCCCTTCATATTTTCCACACCATCTGCAGGAGCCAAGCAGACCTTGGCACTAGGCCTCCTGGGAGTTTACAAG